GTGTCATACCAGATGATTTTATCAATATGATGGAGAAGAAATTGGTTCATCTAAAAAATATAAAATACGAACTGGATATCCAGATGCCGTTAGATATGAAGATGATGTGGCAAGTAGTGGGATTATATGGAATTACAGGTAATATCCGCAATAAGCTTTAATGATCTGATTGATCTTATACATACCCAGGTCGATGATTCCAGTCAACGGATCCCACCGGAACCTGCAGGAACCGGCCCATTTTCCGGCTAATTCCCGCCGGTTCCCGTGCAATTCCTGCCGGAACCGACCGGAAAAATACTGGAAAGGGGGGGCAGTATTCCGGCCGGAAAGTCATCGTACCAGGAACCGCTCAATTACAAAACTTTTCCATTCACCGGAAAACGTTGGATAATCCATCGTATCCATCACGGAACACACCGGAAACACACCATAGCCATCACGGAACACACCGGAAACACATCGTATCCATCACGGAATACACCCGAAACACACCGTATCCACCACGGAACACACCGGACACACCGTATCCATCACGGGATACACCGGAGACATACCGTATCCATCACGGAACACACCGGGCACGCCATATCCATTACGGAATACACCGGAAACATACCATATCCATCACGGAACACAACGTATCCAACACGGAACACACCGTATCCATCACGGAATACACCGGAAACATACCGTATCCACCATGTAAGGGAGACCATGCCTCAAAAGGAGTCATCCAGACAAAGGAAAACCGTACTCCGAGGACATCGAACTTTCTTTTTTTTCAGAATGCACCCTAGCACATGGTGCACCCGTATTTATAGGGGACACCATGTCTCAAAAGGAGTCATCGAGCGGTAGGGAAATCCTCCTCCGAGGACTTCGAACTTTCCTTGCTATTTCCTAATGAACACTAGCACCTCGTCCGCCCGTATTTATAGCGGATATCATGATCCAAAGAGAGTCATACAGAGGTAGGAAAATCGTCCTCCGAGGACTTCGGACTTTGTTTTTTTCAGAGTCAACCCGAACACATGGTGCACCCTTATTTATACTGGAGATCATGTTTGAAACAGAGTCCTCGAGAGGTAGGAAAATCGTCCTTCGAGGACTTCGAACTTTGTTTTTTTTCAGAGTGAACCCTAACACATGGTGCACCCTTATTTATAGTGGAGACGATGTCTGAAACAGAGTCCTCGAGAGGTAGGAAAATCGTCCTACGAGGACTTCGAACTTTGTTTTTTTTTCAGAGTGAACCCTAGCCCCTGGTGCACCCTTATTTATACTGGAGATCATGTTTGAAACAGAGTCCTCGAGAGGTAGGGAAGTCGTCCTCCGAGGACTTCGAACTTTGTTTTTTTTTCAGAATGGACCCTAACACGTTGTGAACCTTAGATATAGTGGAGACCATGTCTCAAAACGAGTCATCGAGAGGTAAGAAAATCGTCCTCGTGAGACTTCGAACTTTGTTTTGTTTGAACTTACCATAACTGGTTTCTCCGTGGAAAGTTTTCTACGGCGTGGTGCGCCTCGATTTATAGTGGGACGATGTCTCAAAAAGTGTCATGTAGAGATAGGAAAAGCGTCCTCGTGAGACGTCGAACTTTGTTTTTTTGAACTCACCGCTAACGGGTTTCTCTCTGGAATGAAGTCTAGCACGTGGTACAGTCCTATTTATGGGAGTGTCCATGTCGCAGAATGACCGACTGTGATGTATGGAAATTGTCTCGTGAGAGTTCGCACTTGGTTTGTTTTTCATCTTATGTCTGAGTCGGTCTTGACAAGAATGAGCTCCATGACCTCGTACAGTGCTACTGAAATGAGAGATTATGCCTGAGAAAGGGTTATTGAGGCGTATTTTAAGCGTCTTATTTGGACCTCGAAATTTTTTTCGTTTTCGCTTAACTGTAGCTCGTCAGCGACCGGGATGAACTCTAGGATGTTGTGTAAGGCTGCTCGTAGTCGAGGCCGCTTGTCAACAACAAAGGCAATCGGAGTTGATGGTAGATTTCCAAGTGCGCTGAGTTTTATGTGATTACCGGCGAGAAGGGAAGCATCCTACATGACTTGTTCCTTATTCAAAAACTGACTGGAGACGTTTAACTTTTCAGCCGATAACTGGCATATCGATACGCGATATAATTTACAATGATCGAAACCTTAGTGCCTCATACTGTGCTATGGCACATATTTTGATGGCGCAAATACCCTGGTGTTCTTTTTGTGTTAGATCCTTTCTAGCATCGGTAGTCTTATCTCTTTGTTGTTTGATATTCTTCAGGACCTATGGGCACGCTATATGACAGCCCTTGAGGATCCATGGGTGCCTTCATATAATAGTCCTTAAGAGCCTATGGGTACCTGTGTAGGGTAGGACATCAAGATGTCTGGGAGCCTTCATATAATAGCCCTTGAGGACCTATAGGTATTTCGATAGGATAGCCCATGGGGATCTTTGGGAACCTCCGTATAATAGTTCTAGAGCACCTGTAGGCGCCTGCAGATAATAGCCCTTGTGGACCTATGGGTACCTCCATATAATAGTCCTAGAGGACCTATGGATACCTCCATATAATAGCTCTTGAGGCCCTATGGGTACTTCTATAGAATAGCCCTTGAGGACTTATGGGTACCTGCATAGGATAGCTCATGAGTACTTATGGGTACGTCCATAGGATAACCCATGAGTAGGATGTGGGGGTGGGTGTGAATCTTGCTGAAAAGTTGAATCCATTCAATTGGAACTAGCGGGATTCGAGTCCTATCTTGTCGTATCCTGTGATCGGATCCGAACTCCATAGCGAAAATGCAAACGGCTGGATCTGGGCTTCGTAACCACACCGGAAACGACAGTTTATGGCTCGTATCCTTGTCGCCGTCATAAGTCGCTGGAACCAGGCGCGGGAACCATACCGGAAATGACAGTTTATGGCTCGTATCCTGTCGCCGTCATAAGTCGCTGGAACCAGGCGCGGGAACCATACCGGAAACAGGGATCTGTATCCGGCCATCTTTTTTGGACTCCGGAACTGACGGGAATTAAGTAGGAAACGAAAGCCGGAACCGATTTTGGAATACTGCCACCCTGAAATAGCCGGAATTTCACCGGATCAGGCGGTTTCCCGCCGTACATCTTGGACCTGGGAATATTATATAAAATTAATGCGACAAGTATTAGATCAACTCTTTTCTGTATATAAAGATTATTTGATTACAATAACAAATAAATTACGTTATTTTCATAATCTTTCACCACATCGTATAAAACAATTTTCATTTAATGATGCTGAACAATTGTGTTCCATAATACCTGGATTTTCATCGCCATCATTGGTTTTAATGGAATTCGAATTATTACGTTCAGCTATTTCGGCTTGCACAACGATCGATCAAGTTATTGCACATTTGAAAACAGTTGGTCATGCGTATCCTCGTGCATCACTTGTATATAATTTTCTTGTTACGTTACCTGTTAGTGTTGCATCAAATGAGAGAAGTTTTTCTAAAATGAAAATTATTAAAAATGACTTAAGAAATGCATTAAAAAACGAAAAATTTACTCATTTGATCTTATGTGCTGCAGAATATGATATACTTTCTACAGCAGATCTTGACAAAATGGCTGCTGAATGGGGTCAAATGAAAAATCGACGTGTAAAAGTTACTTGTGATAAATAACATTTTATTACAAAATTTCGAACATTGTTAATATTTTATCTTTTCTTTGTAAAATATTTTATAATAAAATAAAATTGAACACATGTATATTACAGAATAAAATTAAGCACATTTTCTTCTTGATTGATCATATTTGAGTTGAATAAACGTACAGTTGAGATAAGATAAAAATTCATTTTTGAATCAATGTTATTTAAGAAGTTTCCACTATATGCCAAAACCGTCTCCCCCACCCCTCTTCCAATCCTAACTGAGTCGCGACAGCCCTGCCCACACCCTTTTCTATTAATAGTTAATATTTTATATTTTTCTTAATTATTTTGTATTCATTATCGAAGCGTATTAAACTAAAAACAAAAACCATTTTGGACGATGTTATTCATTCATCTTCAATTGATTGTGATCAGGGGTATTACTTTATGTTTATTTTAAATAAAGATAAATATATTCTTTATATTTATAAAAAAAATAAAGAAAAAGTTTATTTATCTTTATTTTATAAAGAGAAAATAGAGGACAATGAAAAAAATTTGTTTTTTCCTAAGAACCTAAAATTTTATCTTTTCCAGATAGCTCACAAAAATTTCTGGTGTCATAAATGCAACAAAGCATAGAGACAAGGCTTTTTGCATGAACCTTTTTGCGTCTCATCTTCATTGTTTAACAATATTTCATGCTGAAATATTGTTGGTGGTAAGGAAGAACTATGATCAATATATTCTGTTATTATATCAATTATTTATCTATTTACCTATCACAGAAAAAATCTTACTTTATTCTTTGTTTTAAAATATAAAGATCATATTTATCTTTATTTTATAAATATAAATATTTTATTTATATTTATTCTTTATAATAAAGAAAAATAAAAAATAAAGTAATACCCATAAAGGTGATGATTTCTATGTGATAATTCGCCTCCAATACATGACACTTTCATTCAAAAAACAAACAATGATCATTTCTTACAAAAGATTTTTCTTCGATTTTTTTGCATTGATAGACAAGCAAGACATGACCATTCAGTGACCTTTTGATTAAGCTGTATAACACATAACCACAACTATTACGGATATAGTTGTGGGTGTGTTGACTCAAGAGATTATTTGCTATCCTGTTTGTTATATGGGTGTGTGTCTGCGCATTTGCTTGTTTGTATTGAATAAACAATTTTTTGTCATTCTCTCTTTTATTTCACACAAATGATATTCATATGAACCATTGCAAAGATAAAATAATTGATTTTTCTCATGAAGTGGTTATGTATTTATTATATTGTTCTTCTCATGGTTCGTTTTGTTGTGGCTCAATTGTACAATGGAATCATTGGTAACAATGAAAGTATGTTATATTTAATGCGGAGCGAAGCACGGCATTTATGTAGTCCATCGCGAGTTTGCTTTTACCTTTTAGACGTACGCATCGAAAGTTCGTATTTTCTCTTATGATGATCTCGAGAACGGAACGTCAGAAAATACTCCTTCGAACACGAGAATAAAATTTCACGATCAAACCGAAGAAATCATTTTCAAGATCTTTAGTGGGAGCTTCCATTTGTGACACCGAGAGCTTTGCAAGTAAAAAGCAAATTTTTGTGGACTTTGTTTTTTTTCGCATTTCGAGATAATTAAAATGAAAACAGCAAGAAAAGCTAGTCGCCACTCCTTTTATTGAACAACTGATATAATGCATCGTAGCTGCAAGACCAGCTAATAGAAGATAATTAGTCGATCAACTAATGTTTAAACGAACGATTTTGTTAGTCATTCAGGATAAACTTATTTATCAAATTAGTGTGAGTTGTATTTCGAGAACAACTGGGATTTACTCTCTATTGTGATAGTTTTGAACGTTCGAAAATATCTGAAAATATTTAAATCGCGATTTCGATATTGAGTGAAATTCGAGTGCGATCTAGATATTTATTTGCAGGACTTTCACAATTAAGAAAAATACTAACATCTATTTTTTGAGCAAGAAATGTATGTTTGTTTTTTTTTATCAAATGGATTAGATTTTTTTATTCTTTCTATTATAAACAAGAAAAAGACATTCGAAATAACTTTTTTTGCTCAAAATATTAACTAGATTTAATTAGGAACGGGTTATGATAATGTGATATATTTAATTATAGAAGTTAATATTACTGTTATAAAACGCTTCAATGTTTTTTTTAAATATTTAGAAGATTATATCACCGTATTTTTGCTCACTGTCATTACGGATATTCTAATTTATATAATTATACGACATAAACATACACTGATTGATAAGAAAGATCTATTTTGTCATGTATTCTTCTTTAATTCAACATCATTTATATCTTTTATTGCTCTATCTCGATCATTATCACATGCATGGATAACATTTCTTCTAGTTACAATGAAAGTATTTTATTTATATCAAATGGATTTTTTCATGATAATAGTTGCTGCTTTTGGTATGCTTGTTTCCTTTCATGATCAAACATTATTATTCATCATCATGTGTTGGCCACTGTTTATTCAACGATGGATTCTATTTAGCAAAAATGAAAAACATGAAGAACAAAGGAAAAAATTAATAAATTGTAGTATGTTAATTATTTTGAGTATATATGCATATATTCATAGCAAACCAATAATAATAACTACTTGGATTTTACCACCATGGATGTTGTACTATGATCTACTTTTTACTTTATATGTATTAAATTTACCAATAAAACTAACAGGTAAGATCGATAAGAAAGATCATCAGTGTTGTCAATGTGTTACATATATTAGTTTCTATGATGTGACCAATTGCTTTCAATTTTTCAAGCAGAAAATATATAAAACTCTGAGAAAGTTCGATGAACTACGAAAAGACTTTTTGTGTATTTTGCGTAATCAACAGTTTATTTTATAGTGCAAATTACATAGAATGTATCATAATTACCAATAATCAGTTTATAACTATAGGATGACTCCAAAAGTTCGATCATAGAAAGAATGTTAATAGTTCTAAAACAATTCAAGCAATTTACGTAAGTTTGCTATAGTTTTATTTCATATACAGTTGCTCTTCAAAATGATCAGCTTCAAATGATATATCTGAATTCATTCTTTTGAAAATATTTAATAAAATATTTTATAGAGTTTCTCTTTGAAATCATTTTTATGTCCTTATCAATTTTATTTTCATTTCAACGAGATCTTTAGTGAGCAGCTTGTAGATATTATATCTAACGTTTTATTTATTGACTATTTGATTAAAATAAATGTCACTTAGTTTGAGAAAAGAATATTCTCTATAATGTTATTGTCTATCAACATTTTGTAATAAAGCTTTATACACTTCAGCACAATCTAGTAGAGTTATCGATTATATTTTATCATAAATATCTTTGATAAGAGATATTCTGTCATAATTCTATCCGTCGCTATTGTAGTATAGAACAAGCATGTGAAATAGATTGAATTCTTCGTTCGGATTCATGTACATAAACATCATCAATTTCATTGACTTTTTCTTCAGTGATTACTTTTGATCTTTTAGAATAAGAGTCGAATTTCTACCTTAGAAATTTCATAAAAGTCTTGAAATGTAGCTCCAATGCATTCATTAGTCAAGCGCGCTGCTTTGACTACACTTATTTTACGGTTGCACCGTCTCAAATTTAGTCATCAATAGAGCTATTGTAATTATGACGCTAATAGACACAGGCTTCTTATGAAAAATATGTTGAATAAAATTTTAAATAGTAGGCTATGTACCTATTTAAAAAAAAAGGTGTAAAGCATATGAATTACACAAGAGCTGTTGACATTCTTTTTTCCATCGATCTTTTGAAACTCACTGTATATTGTTAAATATCATTTTAGACGAAAATTATTGGCAAACAAAGAATAATATCAAAAGAACATCTCGTCCTTCTATCTATGTACAATTTAAAAATTTTATCGAAGAAATCAAACGTTTTCATTCTCGTCTAGATATTAAATTGGTATTTTCAATGATATTCTATTTGTTTCTTCTCTGTATTCCAGTTTTTATTTTGAGTATATTCTCTGATGATCCCCAAATAAAACAAAAATGTGTTTCATTTTCAATGGGTTTAGTACCGACATTGGCATGTGGACGTGAACTTGCTTATAACGCTGCTGATAGTTCATGTTCAAAATATCGAAAAATTCTTCTCTATTCAACATGGTTCTTTGTCAATATAGGCATTCTTATTTTTTATTATTATGTTTATTTACCTACATCAATTTTCGCCATGCATCTGCAGGATGGTGTGCCATTCACGGCTATGCCGATCGATTTCATATGGGGGTACTCGCTGTTGGCAATTAAACATTTCACTCAGCCGAAATTAATAACAACAGACATGATAACAAGTTCAAATTAAGAAACTTTATTACTGATTATTGGTGAAATTCACAAATAATACTACTCACTGTAATTAGTTTTTATGTATCAAATAAATATGTACAGTTAGATACATTTCATGTTTTTGCTGATTGTTCTTTTTGTTTAATATGTCAAGATTATTCTCAAATTTTTCTTATCAATAATAAAAGTCTTAATGATATTTAACTTTATTTTTCGAAAGGATATGATGCAATAAAATTCATTCATTATCGATTAAGATAAAGAAAAATTGAATTTATTGTATATTAGAAGAAATCTAATACAATTTCGAAGTTTTGTTACATTGAGATTCAATCGAGCGATGAAAAGGAATATTGTTTTAATTTCAGATTAATGTTGAACAGTAAACAAAAGTTGCCACTGTTGTTTATCACTGTTCAATTGTACTAAAGCATAATTGTCTTCTTGTACTCTGTGATATTCGTTATTATATCAGAGTTGAACATCATCGGGCGTTCGTATACGAATTTTCATGAAAGATCTATTCTCAGATCTTATGATTATAATATGATCTCGCGGTGTTTCGATCCCATGTTTAGATGAGATTATATGTTAATTTAAATCGAAAAACTTTTTTCATGTTTTTCTTCCTTTGAATAGATGCAAAAGTCTCATAATAGTATGAACATTTATTTTTAAGACAATAAAAATATATAATTCATTCTTTTAACTTGCAGCGACTACCATAATATATAGAATCGCTGTGTAATTGATCGAGAAAAGACCAAAACTAATGATATGTCTATTTCATAATTGACTTTCTTCAACTAACTTTTTATCGTTCTCTCGCCTAAGTTAATTATTGTAATTGTAATGGATGTAGACAAAGAAAATGATTATATTAACATAAGATTGGAAAGTAAATAATAAACAATTTATTGAATGATTAAAATTATAATAAAAAAATTAAAATAAAATATAAAATTCTTAGGTGTTTTAATCGTTCTGTAGATGTATTTGAATCATTTTTTTATTGATTGCATTTTATCGATCAATAGGATGTTGTCGTATATGTCGAAATAACAAAAGAAATGATTCAGTTATTATCAATTATTTACATATTAATATCAAATATGGATTTTCAACATCGAGCAGGTGGTAAAACTGGTAGTGGTGGTGTTGCTAGTGGTTCGGAATCGAATCGTGATGGACGCGAACGACTCCGTCAATTGGCTCTTGGAACAATTAATCTTGCTAAAGATCCTTATTTTATGAAAAATCGTTTGGGAACATATGAATGTAAACTTTGTTTAACGTTACATAATAATGAAGGTTCTTATTTGGCTCATACACAAGGAAAAAAACATCAATCAGATTTGTAAGTTATCTATCGTTGTAGAAATTAAAACTATGTATTTTCATATTCGAATTCACATCGACTGAATTAGCTGTATCTGACAGTTCTTCAAATCACGCATACTACCAACATTATATAGCGAGAGAGAGAGAGAGGGCGTGCTCTTTAAGATTCAGTTACTCTCTTTTTACATTCAATCTTGACTGTTAATCCTGGAATTAGATGATTGTACATATATCTAATCAAATAAATGTATGATAAGACATATTAAATCGATAAATACAAAAGAGAATAAGTTAATCCAATGAAACAATTTTTTTAAATGAAGCCTCAAGTTTTTCATACAGAATGAAAGAGAAAGTCGACTTCAGCATTTTTCTGATGAACTTTGAGATTTAAAACATGATCAGGAGATGTTTTAATCGAATCAACTGCTACATTTAATGTTATTTCAAAAGCTTAACTAATGAAATCTTTTCATAACCACTTTTAAAATATCAAAGTTTCACCACATAAAATGCTCAACTCGACGAGTATTAATTGAACAAATGAAAGATTAAACATATAATCCAGCAACTGTACATGAACTTATTAAAAATGTTTCACGTAGTGTTAATCAATTAATCAAAAATTTTCAATTACCACGATATAAAATTGTTATTCAAACTATGATTGGTCAAAAATATGAACAAACTTTACGTATTGGATCACGTTGTTTATGGGATCCAAAAACAGATAATACAGTATCAGTTAATTATGAAACGAAAGATATGATTGCTGTTGTGATTGTTCATGCTATATATTTTGAGTAAATGACAAACATTTTATTTTACTTATATGACAATTCAATGAAAGATATTTCATAAGATCATTTTAATCTAATAATGATTTAGGTATCTTGGGGTGTGGGTATGAGTGTGAGCGTGGATGTTCTTTACTTACACTACACCCACACCCCACACCCTTTTTCATACTACTTACATCAATAAGTTCAAGTTTAAGTTGAATATTTTCAACATTAACTTTTGATGTTTGTCGACATTCATCAATTTTTGCATATTGTCTTTTTTTTTTCTATTACAATTACATATATATTTTTTTATTCCAAAAGTATAAATTTGACATACTTGAACTAACATATCACGATATGTTTTTAAATGCCCAATTTCTGCTCGACTAATTTTAACTGTTTGTCACTAAAAAAGAAAACAATCAATCTTCTCTTTTTAAAGATTATCGACTCCACAAAACTTTTTCTGTACGAATTTTTCGAATTAATTTAATTTAAGTGCTTTCATATATTTTGTTGCAGCAAATATATCATCAAATTTTGTTTTTAATTGTTTTCCTTCACTTAATGGCCTTAAAAATCATATTTAAACAGTAAAAGAACATCTATATCAAATAAAAATCTTCGAACTAACCAATTTGATTCTTCTTAATGACAAAAAATAACATTTTCTAGAATAGCTGTCGATACACCAAATGCTGTAATCATTTCTCTATCACGTTCAATACATTTTGATGTTATCTGTATTGGTTCACCATTAATATCTTCACGAATAATAACACTTTCAAGAGTTCTTAAACTAATATTTGTTTTCTATCA